CTCCGCGACGGGCCTGCGGGCCCCCGCCGCGCCATGCTGCCGCAAGATGCCACGCCGCCCGCAACATCCTTCCCCTCTCGTCATCCCTCCCCCCCCCCGGGGAGACGGCTTGGTGGTCGTTTGTGTGTCCCCGTCCTTCCTCCTCTTTCCATGCCGCCCGTCCTGCGTGCACATCCCATCATCCCCGCGGCTGGTGGCAAACGCCACCAGGCCGTCTAGTTCGATCAACTCCCCCAGGGCCGACCAGCCCCGGGAGGGGCCGCGGTCTACGATGTTTATCGCCATCAGGAGAGGAGGTGGAGGAGGAGGAGGAGGAGGAGGAGGAGGAGGAGGAGGAGGAGGAGGGAGGGCCGCTCGTTTTCAAGGAGGATATGAGAAAGAGAGGGCCGGGAGGGAGAGTTGGCCGCCCTTGGTTGTGTTTCGCCGCCCCCCCCGTATGTTGCTCTTCGTTCGTTCAGCGATGCCTTGGACATTTTGCGCCGGCCATCATTTGAGTATTTCGTTGGTCGTTCTTCATTATTTGGGGTCAAAGCTCGTTGAGCAAGCCTCGAGAGCGTCGAGAGCACAGCCAGGCGAAGAGTGCCACAAGGCCAGGCTTCAGCGAACCCTGGTCCCGGGGGTGGCTGGCGAGGGAACCTGCACCATAACCCCAATGCCCCATGTTCCCCTCGTGTGACGGGGGTGGGGGGCCCACTCGGGTGCCCCCCCGGCGTTTTGAGGGGGAACGGGGGACCAGAACGGGGGGGCGGTTTGGGAACGGGGGGGGGAAGATGGTGGAGGGAGGAGGAGGAGGAGGAGGAGAGAGGGGAGGAGAGAGGAGGGGGAACGGGAGGGGAAGAGAGGAGGGGCGGAGGGGAGGGGAGGAGGGGAGTGGAGGAGGGTGAGGGGAGAGGAGGGGAGGGAAGGGGATGCGGGGAGGGGAGGGGGGGAGGAGGGGGGAGGGGAGGGAGGCGAGGGGGAAGGGAGGGGAGGAGGATGGGGGTGGAGGGGTGAGTGGAGGGGAGAGGGAGTGTGGGGAGGGAAGGGAGGAGGAGGGGAGGAGGGAGGGGAGGGGAGGAGGACAAGCTAGGTGCGCTCGCGTCATATCTGACGTCCTACCCCTCCCTCCCATCCCTTACCATGGCGCTGATGTTCTCTATCCGCGGACGCGTGTCGTAGCGGACCTGTGGCTCCGCGCGCGCGTGCGTAGTGGGTGGTGGTGCGCGTGCGTGCGTGCGTGCGTGTGTGCGTGGTTGTGCTGGTGCTGGTGCTGGTGCTGGTGCTGGTGCTGGTGCTGGTGCTGGTGCTCGTGCTCGTGCTGGTGCTGGTGCTGGTGCTGGTGCTGGTGCTGGTGCTGGTGCTGGTGCTGGTGCTGGTGCTGGTGCTGGTGGTGGTGGTGGTGGTGGTGGTGGTGGTGGTGGAGTTGGTGGTGCGGCGCGGTGGTGGCGGGCGGATGGGCGCGCGAGAAAGAGGCCCGCGCTGGGGCGAGAACGCCATCCTGAACGACGGAGGCAAAACACCGATCCGAAAATGCGGCCCACGCTGCAGCGGGAGCACGATTCGGAACGATTCGGGAGCAGAAATGAGGCCGGCGCCTCAGCGAGAGCATCATTAAAAAAACGCAGGCGAAACCCGTTTCCCGGGAATCCTGTGTGTAAAAAAACAGTGCGCGGGGGGCGTTCGGCACGAAAATGACGCCGGCGCTTCAGCGAGAGTCGTTTCCCGGGATTTCCCGGGCATCCTGTGTGTAAAAAACAGTACGCGGAGAATGCGCGGCCATCACCCAGACGCCATCAGGGGAAAAGGGAGAGTATTTTCATATTGAGTAATTGTGGAGGAGGAGTGGAGGGGATGGTGAGCAGGAGAGGGGGTAATCCGGTAAAGGCGAGGAGGGGAGGGGAAGGGGCGAACCCAGGCCCAGATCCTCGCTTGGGGCACGTATCGCGACGGGAGCTGTTGGGCGTTTTTGTTTCGCCTTTGGAGGCCTTCTCTGGGCGCCGCCAGCGTCAAACCTTTCGGGAATCGGGAGTGGAGGAGAGAACCCCGGCCCTGACACGTCGATTAGTGGATTGTCCCTTTTCGGTTCTCGAGAGGGCGCCGCGGCCGTCGTTTTCCAGGTTTGCGCCCGCCACGTTTGGGCCCGAGGTCGTTTTCACTAAACCACGTTTTGCTAAAGGGGGTTCTTTGCATCCCCGAGAGAAGAAGCCGCTCCCGGGGAACGAACAGTGCGTGCCACGGCACGCAAGATGGTTCGCGTGATTCTGGTTCCCCTGAGGGTCTCTGAGGGAGGCTCTGGGCGACGCTTCTGAGCACCCCTGGGAGAGCCGGGGCCGCCCTGGCCCAGGGCCATCCCTAGCAGACCCGAGAGGAGTGGCTGGTGCCCGCCCACCTGCAGCCGGCCATTTATTCTGAGAGCCAGAAGGACAGCAGCAAGCAGTAGAACCCTTCAGAGCTGGGCGTCGCCGCAGCATCGTGATGGCAAGTGTTTCGTTTTTTTGTATTATCATTATTATTTATTGTTATTACTATTATTATTGTTGTTATTATTATTATTAGTATTATTATTGTTAGTATTAATCTTATTATTAGTAGTATGATTATTATTTTTGTTATTGTTATTATTATGGTTATTATTGTTATTATTGTTACTATTATTAGTATTAGTCTCATTCGCATTGCTATTCTTATATATGTATGTGTGTGTGTGTGTGTCTGGAGGGTGTTGCCCGTCCCTGGGACCAACAGCAAGAACGACTCAGGATGAAAAGCAGACCTCCTGGAAGGGGTCGAGATCGGACGGGGCGTGGACGAGGACACATCCGTTCCAGAGCGTTCCAGGACGCTCTCAGAGCGTTCTGGGACGCTCTGAGAAGGCAGCGGCGACTGGGACACCCTCCAGAGCCGCCGGATGGATCTCCGAGATTCTCGATGCGTCCTCACCCGATGTTCTCTTCGTCCTGCCTTCGTCTTACGGGTCACGAGCAAACGTTGCGACGTCGAAGAAGAGGGAACGTTCGGAGGTCGGCGCGGATTTCACGGGTCGGCTCTGCACCGTTGGTTTGTAAAGGGTGGATAGGGAAAGGGGGGGGGTACGAAATCTGCTGCATGCAGCCGGGTTCGGCCCCGCCGCCGGGCCCATTTCTCGATACATGGGCGATTCCCGGGCGCCAGGAGGTGCTGGGAAAATCAGCTACGTGAGCTGATCCTCTACCCTACCCTTTGCGCTATCCCCCCCTTTCGTTCCCCCCGAGTGGCCACGCCCGGACGGAGTTCGGCAAAGTGGTTCGAATATGCAGCCCAGGTCGCTGAGATAAGGACCGCTCTGGGTTCGGACGGGGCCCGCTGTTCCTCGGGTCTCCTTCCGCGGTTGCTCCTCCAGGCCTCCTCGCCTGCGCCCGGGCGCGTTCCCAGGTAAAGAGGGGCTGTCAAGCAGTGGCGAAGCGTCCTGGCTCGCCTATAGGCCTACCAAAGAATGTTCTAAGTAGGCCTACCAAAGAATGTTCTAAGAACCTTTTGTGATTTTCACGAAATGTTCTTAGAACATGCCTGGTTGAGACTGTCTTGTTTTAACACATCGGGTTAATGTTCTGAGAGCATTGCTTTTGTTGTTGGAACAGTTTTGGGCTCAAAAAACATTTCGTGGTAGGACTATAGGAATGCTGGGACGGTCGGTCCCTGCTCAAGGCTTCGTCCCTTATTCGGCGTTCCTTACTTCAGCAGCCCGGCGGTAGACCAGAGGAGGGGTGCGGGGACAGTTGGACAGCTCGTGAGTGAGCGAGTGCGGGCGAGGCCATCTCGGTGCACCCAGGTGGGGCGGGAAGCGGGCGAGGGTGTGATCAAGACCCTGCGGCGCCTGGTGCGAAGCCAAGCGCCGCCCGGGAGCGTGGGCAGGGGGTCGCAGCGCCGACCCGAGAGATCCGCACCAGCCTTCCAAAAGCTCAACCCAAGCATCCGTCGATGAGATCTTGTACTTCCGCGGCCCCAGAGATTCCGACCGCTTCCCAGGGAGCTTGTTGCTCGCCCCGGGATCCACTTCTGCTTCTGACGGTCCCAGGGGCTCTGGGGTGCTGCCCCCACGAGGCAGGACGTTGGGAGAAGCGTTGAGTGAGATGAGAATCATCGGCCAGATATCCCAGGATACCCCACAGTTTTTTTGCGAAGACAGCGGAGGGGGCGGACACACAGGATGTCGCCAGATGTTTGGGTGCGCTGTCTGTCTGGGTCTCTGGCGTTGGCTCCGGGTGGAGGACTGCACTCCCCTCGAGCGGGGGTGCTCGAGGAAGGCGAAATGTCGGGGTCAAGCGACGGGGGCCGAGGCCAACGGGGGTCCGTCAGAGCATCGGAGCATGCAGCATCCTGCAGAGCCCAGGGTGCACTGACCGGGACTCTGGGTGCAGGATCCTGCAGCAGGCGCCCGCAGGATTTTGCAGGATCTTGCAGAGCCTGACTGCCCCCAGGCTTGGATTGATCCGGGTCAGAAGATCCCCGACGACATGAGCTCTAGGCCTCCTAAATGGGGTCGGATTAGATAGGGGTTGGAAGATCGTGCCGCATCGCCGATGCACCACCGATGCGGCTTGATGTGCAGCCCGATTTGCTTCACGTCGACGTCGCCGATGCAGCTCCGAAGTCGACGGTGCATCGCCGGTGCATCGCCGATGCATCGCCGATGCGCCGCCGTTGCACCGCCGATGCTTCGGCGATGCGGCGCCACCCTCCGACCCCATCTACTCGGACCCCAACTAGGAGGCCTCTATGAGCGCAAGCGTTCGAAGGTCCGCGCGGATCTCGGAAGGACCAGCGCTGATCCCAGTTTAACCCTGGTGGGGGGGGCGCCGTCCGCTCCCGCCAGGGTGGCCCGGCGCTGGCCCCCAGAACACATCCGCCCGGGGCCCTCCGAGCGGGCAGGCCTACGCATCTGAGTTTGCGTCGGGCCTGTCCTTCTGCAGGAGGAATATTCAAGCATAGTATAAACATTAGCCTGACGAAGGGCCCAACCATATGCGGGTGTGACTACCGCAATTGTGATTCGTTTTTTCGGTGGTGATGCCTATGAGGCAACGAACCGTGCTAGGGGTGTGCCGAAATGAGTGGCGTGGTACACAACGCGAGCGAAAACGATTGATCAGAGTACGTAGGGAGACTGAGAGCGGGTGAATATGAGCGCGAGTGCGTCTGACTGTGAATGAATCTGCGTGCGAGCGAGTCTACGTGCATGAGTGCGAGTATGACAAAGCATGGTGTCATTGTATATGAATGTCAATAGTTTGAGAATGACTACCTCTGAGTACTCGTGACGCTGGGCGTGGCCGCCGCAAGGAGTTTCCCCGGGACTCCCCGACGGCATCGCCCGCGTGCCGCGACGCCAATGTCGGCGCGCCCCCCCGCGAGGATCGCGCCCGCTTCCTCCCCTTCTTTTACTCCCTCTTTGCCCGCGCACTCAAAAGTCCAAGGCTGCGGGCGCAGCGCAGCGCGGAGTCCCCGCGACGCGCGCAGGTCACCCTGGATGGGGTCCCAGAGACGCGCGCGGGTCGTCCGCTGCGCGGAGCAAAGAAAGCTAGTTGGCTGGCTGATAGCGGGCAAGGTTTACCGCTGGGCAGAGCGACGACGGGCGAGCGGCGAGGTGCTGGGCAGAACGCAGCACGGAGCCCCCGCGACGCGCGCTGGTCGCCCCAGAGGAGTCCCAGCGACGCGCGCGGGTCGTCCGCTGCCGAAATGAGTGGCGGGGACGCATGCGGACTGTGCCACTGGGACCTTCGGCGGAGCTCTTATGGGGCCACGAAACGTGTGAGGGGTGGGCCGAAATGAGCGGCGGGGACGCATGCGGACTGTGCCACGGGGACCTTCGGCGGAGCTCCTATGGGGCCACGAAGCGTGGGTGTGCCGAAATGAGTGGCGGGGACGCATGCCGACTGTGCCACTGGACCTTCGGCGGGGCTCCTATGGGGTCACGAAGCGTGTGAGGGGTGGGCCGAAGTGAGTGGCGGGGGCGCATGCGGACTGTCCCACGGGGACCTTCGGCGGGGCCCTTACGGGCCGAAATGAGTGGCGGGGACGCATGCGGATTGTGCCACGGGGACCTTCGGCGGAGCTCCTATGGGGTCACGAAGCGTGGGTGTGCCGAAATGAGTGGCGGGGACGCATGCCGACTGTGCCACTGGACCTTCGGCGGAGCTCCTATGGGGTCACGAAGCGTGTGAGGGGTGGGCCGAAGTGAGTGGCGGGGGGGGCATGCGGATTGTGCCACGGGGGCCTTCGGCGTAGCTCCTATGGGGCCACGAAACGTGTGAGGGGTGGGCCGAAATGAGTGGCCGGGACGCATGCGGACTGTGTCACGGGGACCTTCGGCGGAGCTCCTATGGGGCCACGAAGCGTGTGTGTGCCGAAATGAGTGGCGGGGACGCATGCCGACTATGCCATTGGACCTTCGGCGGGGCTCCTATGGGGTCACGAAGCGTGTGAGGGGTGGGCCGAAGTGAGTGGCGGGGGCGCATGCGGACTGTCCCACGGGGACCTTCGGCGGGGCCCTGATGGGGCCACGAAACGTGTGAGGGGTGTGCCGAAATGAGTGGCGGGGGCGCATGCGGACTGTGCCACGGGGACCTTCGGCGGAGCTCCCATGGGGCCACGCAACATGGGTGTGCCGAAATGAGTGGCGGGGACGCATGCCGACTGTGCCACTGGACCTTCGGCGGGGCTCCTATGGGGTCACGAAACGTGTGAGGGGTGGGCCGAAGTGAGTGGCGGGGGCGCATGCGGATTGTCCCAGTGGGACCTTCGGCGGGGCCCTTATAGGGCCACGAAGCGTACGAGGTGTGTACCGACGAAATGAGTGGCGGGGGGGGCATGCGGATTGTGCCACGGGGGCCTTCGGCGGAGCTCTTATGGGGCCACGAAACGTGTGAGGGGTGGGCCGACATGAGCGGCGGGGACGCATGCGGACTGTGGCACTGGGACGTTCGGCGGAGCCCCTATGGGGCCACGAGACGTGTGAGGGGTGGGCCGAAATGACTGGCGGGGACGCATGCGGACTGTGCCACGGGGACCTTCGGCAGAGCTCCAATGGGGCCACGAAGCGTGTGAGGGGTGTGCCGACATGAGTGGCGGGGACGCGCGCGGATTGTGCCACTCGGACTTTCGGCGGAGCCCCTTATGGGGCCACGAAACGTTGTACTGCCGGGGGGGGCGCGTGCGGACTGCGCAATTGGGACATTCGGTGGAGCTCCGTATGGGGCAACGAAACGCGTGATGATGTTGATGATGTTGATGTTGATGATGATGACGACGATGATGACGATGATGATGAGGATGATGTTGATGATGATGATGGTGATGGTGATGCTGATGCTGATGACGACGATGATGCTGATGATGATGATTATGATGATGATGATGATGAGAGGAGGGAGGAGGAAGAGGAGGAACGCGGGGCGACGTCTCTTCAAAACGAGGACCCAACACTACTGGATGGTTGGGAATAGTAAGGGATTGTTTTGTTTGTTGTTTTGCATGTTGGCGTATGTTGGAGTGTGTTCTTTGTTTTAGGGGGGCGCGCCCGAGCTAAATCTAGGCCTCCTCGAGATGGGGTCCGAGCAGGTGGGGTCGGAGGATCGCCCCGTGCCGCCGATGCATCGGCGATGCGTCGGCGACGACGATAAGGGCGAATACAGCCCAGGGGCGGGCATTACACGCATTCGCCCAGGAGCCTTGTCGAAGACATAGATCATTGGCGCCCCTGGATACATGTATTGCTCTCCCCTGGGCTATTCGCCCCTATCGTCGCCTCTGAATGCGGCTCGCTGCGGAGCCCGATGTTCGCCCCGATCGTCGCCTCTGAATGCGGCGCGCTGCGGAGCCCGATTTTTTCCACGCCGACGGCGCCGATGCCTCGCCGACGTTGCCGCTGCATCGCCGATGCATCGGCCATGTGTCGCCGATGTATCGGCGATGCGGCGCGATGCTCCGACCCCACCTGCTCGGAGCGTTCAGGGCGTTCACGAGGGCCCTCGGCGCGCTCCAGGACGTCCTGTAAAGGCCGCGGCGCCCGGCACGTCCCACAGGGATCGCAGAGATCCCCGACCCCTGAGGGACCGCAGAGATCCCCGACCCTCGGCCATGCGCAAAGGAGGGCAAGGGGAGGAGGAGGAGGGGGAGGAGGAGGAGGAGGAGGAGGAGGAGGAGGACAAGGACGACAAGGAGGACAAGGAGGACAAGGAGGACAAGGAGGACAAGGACAAGGATGAGGAGGAGGAGGAGGAGGAGGAGGAGGAGGCGGGGGAGGGGGGAAGGTGTCTCGGAAGCACCCCTGCCCCTTGGAAGGCGCGGGCCGTGTTTGCGGATGCAAGGCCGGTGCCTTCCAAGAAGCGGCGTACTCCTAAGAGGCCGTCCCTCCTCCGCCTACCCCCGAATCGGTGCCGCCGACCTTGTCCCGATCTTAGGGGCACAAAAAGTGGCATAAACGTGAAAACTCGGATGTCCGCGAGGATTTCTCGGATCGGCGCTGGACCCCCCTCTCCTTGGCGCGCTCCGCGCGCCAGGGGCGGCGCCGATGGCGCCGCCGGGGGGCCCCAGCGCCGATCCGAGAAATCTGCGCGGACCTCCGAGTTTTTATGTTTATGTCATTCTTCGTTCCCCTAGATCCGAGAGCCTGCGCTCGTGCCGCCTTGCTGCCCCTCCAGGTGCGGCGGGCCGTGGGCTCTGCTGCCCGCGCTGGAGGTGCCCGTGCGGGTGGCCCCGCCCGAGGGCCAGGGCCGCGCGACCCCGGGGCCCGCGGCGTCCAAGGGCGGCGCCAAGAAGTGAGCACAGGCCTCCTGCTCCTGCTCCTCCTGCTCCTCCTCCTCCTCCTCCTCCTCCTCCTTCTGCTCCTCCTCCTGCTCCTCCTCCTCTTAGAAGTACGCCGCTTCTTGGAAGGCACCGGCCCTGCATCCACAGACACGGCCCGCGCCTTCCAACGAGCAGGGGTGCTTCCGAGACACCTTCCCCCCTCCCCCGCCTCCTCCTCCTCCTCCTCCTGCTCCTCCTCCTCCTCCTCCTCCTCCTCCTCCTTGTCCCCCTCCTCCTCCTCCTCCTGCTCCTCCTTCTGCTCCTCCTTTTGCTCTTCCTCGCTCGCCTTCCACCCCTCGCGTCCAAGGTCGGTTCTCTGCTGGCCTCGTTCCCACTCGTATGAAGGCCCAGGCAACGTGTGGGGCCATCGCCAAGCCCTCCGCGCGAGTCCGGGAGCTGCTGTCATCCTGAGCATCGATTTCCAGGACGGGTCCGCCTAGGCAGAATAGCGGGGTCGGGTCGGCCAGTTACGCGAACACCCCTGATACTCATACCCAGTGGATGAGAAAGGCCAGGGTTCGGAGGGGATAATGAATGTCTCGTCCTGGTAGCTCGTATGTACGGAGGTAGTGATGGAATGGAATCCGAGGGGCCTACCACACGTTCGCCACGTGCCCCTGCCACGCGTCCGTACTTTCGGAAGGCTGGAACGGTGAGATCCCCACAGCCTTTGCCGCACGTTCGTGTGTTAGGAACGCTGAGATGGTGAGAATCCCGTACAGTGGGGGCGCGCATCAAAAAAACACCCACTTTTCGTCAGGGTACCCTGGGTCTCTTCGCTCCGCGCGTTGCGCGGTGCCTTTCTGCGGCAGTCAAAGAACCTGCTGCGTTCAGGGCGCTGCGGGTTTCCCCTCTGGTGCACCTCATGCGCGGGTTTTCAGGGTTGGGTTTCTTGCGGCCGCGCCCGCACTGTACCCCATCCACCGTGCTGGTCCTCAATCTACGAAGATACCAACGTCGGTACGTATTTTCCATGGCGATGAGGAGGTTCGGCCTCGCCGCGCCTTTCCCCCGACCAATCCCTGTCGTGGCCCGGGATAGCCAACTCTTGCCAATCTGGAGTCCGACTTCTCATTGGAGGCCTTACTAGCCTGCCGATGTTCACCGACTCGACTCCGCCCTACTCGGCGGCCGATTTCCGCCGGCCCAGTTCGTTTCGATCGCCGATCCGATGTATCGATTTGTTGCTGGGCTCTCCCGGCCACCCGTCCCACCCACCCCCGACCATGTCCCTTCACTATCACGGCCTATGCTGTGGTCACAGCCTGCACGCCATCGACTCGTGATCCTGGCACCTTGCGGCGGCGGCACGCCCGCACCAATGTCCAGCGCCCTTCGCCCGACGACTGCGGCCAGCAGCCCACCTACTTTTGCCTTTGGCAGGATGTGAGTCAGGAGGGGAAACAGCACAGACACAATCAATCGACGCCTCCCAGGAAACTATGGGGAAACATGGGAAGTGGTGGGAGACGAAGACCCAGAACCTATGCGAAAATATATGGGAATCTTGGGATGTGTGTGTATTTGTGTTCTTGGGCCCCTTCAGTGAGGGAGCATGCGCGACGATAGCAGATGCAGGAAGCCAGAATGGTATGTAGCAACAGGGGCAGAGGGCGGAAGAAGGGCAGAGGCGGGCACGTGGTCCGCAGCCATGAGGGGCGTCAGCCGGATTGCATCCAGCCTTCTACTCTTAAGTCGGGCATGTCCCTTCTACAGGAGGGGTGTTCAAACACAGTCAAAACATACAATGGGGACAATTTGGGGCGTATTCTTTGGACAATGTTTGAAGATGTTTTGAATATTTGTTTTTCTTCGAACATCGGCCTGTAGGGGGACACGCCCGACCTAATCCTACTCCACCCGCGGGACGCCCATCTCGTTCAACATCCTCGATACCTCCCTCTCGAGCGGACCTATGGGAGTTGGTCCTGTGGCTTTCGCGATCTCGTTGTGTTTTACTGTACGCGCCAGCGCTGCCTGCCACATGTTCATCACGATCGTTTCTCGCAACGTCCCGGCCGCAGAGAACCCCTTTCTCCGCTTGCTTTCCCCGCCCTGCGGCACTTGAAGTGCACCACGTCCGCCGCGGTCTCGCCCGGCGAGCGCTTCCTCACAACAGGCTCTCGGTGCTCCCGAAGGACCATGCGGCTTTTACTGGCGGCCAGCTTGCCGCCCTCCGCGCACTGTTCCATCGCCCTTGTCGGATGCCGTGCACGAGTGCGGTCGCGCACGGCGGGCCCCTGCTCTTGCGGTCCATCTCCTGCCCCGCCTCCTGGAGCGTGCGCAGGGTCTTCGAGCCTTCTCCGCACCTGGCGCCCTCGAGGCCCTGCACGCGTGTCCCAGGTAGCCCTCCGACTCATCGACGACTTGCGTCTCGCACGTGGCGTCCCTCGAGGGCTGCGACCTGCCCTGCGCCCGTGAGGGCACTCCTTGGCGAGAGGGGCGCAGCGGCGCGCGGCTGTGCCTGTCTCCCTTCTCCTCCGTGCTGTGCCCGAGCCTCGAGCGGCCTTCGCCGCCGACCTCTGGGCCGGTCTCCGCTGGCCCCGCTCCAGGCCGCAGCCTCGCGCCCCGAAGCGGCCGCAGCTATGCTCACGGGCGGCAGCCGACCGCTTCCCAGAGGCCGACTCGCCTCGCCCCGCCGCCTCCGCCCGCCGAGATCCCACGGGCGGGCGGGCGGCGGAAGCGTGCGGCGAGCGGCCTTGGGCAACCGCGCGGCCGAGCCATCGTGTCCCGTTCTCCGCCTCTTCCTCTTTTCGAGCTTCGAAGCTGGAGTCAAGTCGGGCCTGTCCCTCTACGGGGAAAATGTACAAGTAGTCAAAAAACAGTCGGGGGACCATTTTTGGGGGGTATTTTTGTGGTCTTTCTAATTTTTCGTCCAAAGCCGGCCTGCAGGGGGACAGGCCCGACTGGAAGCTAGAGGTTTCCAGGCGGTCTCTCTGGTTCCTGGAGGCTTTCTTGCCTTGGGGTGCTCTCCGGCAGCTGCGCCGCCGAGAACCCTCCCGGGGGGTCCCGGGTCGTCCCGGGCCGCCGGAGGACATGAGAGATTGGCCCAGCAAGTGCCGATCCGCCCAGACCTTTACAGAGGAGGCCCATGCCAAGGAGCACCCCCCCCCCGCTTGCCTCCAGGGCGCCCCGGGTGTTCTGGGTCTCGACGGTTTTGCGGTGGAAAGCGTGACGTTCCCACACCAACAATCCATGGACGTCCTGGGGTCCAGGGTTGGGTTCTCTTGTGGACTGGCCTCCACTGTACTGCGGCTGCCGAAGCAAGACACCGCGAACACAACAGCTCGAACGAATCGCGATGGCTGTCAGCTGCTGGGAGCACTGAGTGGTGGTTCAGATGTGAGCCTGGGCACGTTCGGGCTCCCGCAGGGAGCGCGCAGGACTCCGGCGTTCGCTTCGCTTCGCCTTCTTACGCAGTGACGAGCTATGTGTGCGGAAGTTTTCCGCCGTTTTCGGCCTGGGGGATTCTTGCCATGACACAGAGCCATCAAGTTACGATCGCATGCGCTCCTCCCGCCCACAGCGGCACACCCCTCACACGCTTCTCGGTCCCACAGGGAGCTCCGCCCGGGGCCCCAGAGACGGGGTTCGCATGCGTCCTCCCCGGCTCAAGACGGAACACCTCTCCCGCGTTTCTTTTGCCCCATTCGGGGTTCCACCGAAGACGATACTCGTGCTTACGATACTCACAACTGCATATGATCGGGTCTCTCGCCATGTGTTTGTTCAAGCCCTCCCGGAAGGTCCAGAGGAGGAGCAGGAGCAGGAGCAGGAGGGGCAGGAGCAGCAGGAGCAGGAGGAGCAGGCGGAGCAGGAGGAGGAGGAGGAGGAGGAGGAGGAGGAGGACCTCCCACGACAGGCCTCGCAACCTTCTCCTGGGCCTCCCCGGCCCGGCCGCGCGAAACTGTGCACGGGCTGCGCGGCGTCCAACAAAAGGACACGCGCGCCCGCGCGCGCGCGGAGAGGGAGAGTCAGGCGACCGCAAACATGGATCAAGGGGGCTTGGATTATCGACGGGCCCCGCTTCCTTGCGAAATCGCCGATTTCCGCCGCCGAGCGAGGCGGCACTGGCCGCACTTCGGGGGTGGCACCTCCCCCGATCCATGGATTTGGCGACCGCGCACCAAATCCAGGGATCGCTAATCTTAAGTCGGGCCTGTCCCTCTGCAGGGGGGATATTCAAAAATAGTCAAAACAAGTCTGGTGAACACTTTTGGATAATTCTTCCAATTCTGGCATTGTTTTTTTTGGCTTTCTGGACAGAATCCCCCTGTAGGGGGAGAGGCCCGACCTAACGCTAATCCATGTTGGCGCGCCCCCGGGAGAGGCAGGAGAGGGAGGAGAGGAAGGAGGAGGCGGAGGAGGAGGAGGAGGAGGAGGAGGAGGAGGAGGAGGGGGAGGAGGGGGAGGAGGAGGGGAGGAGGGGGAGGAGGAGGACGAGGAGGGGGAGGAGGGGAGGAGGGGGAGGAGGAGGAGGAGGTGGAGGGGAAGGGGGGGGGAGAGGGGGGTAGTTGCGCTCGCGTCAACATCTGACATCCTACCCCTCCCTCCCATCCCTTACCATGGCGCTGATTTTCTCTATCCGCGGACGCGTGTCGTAGCGGACCTGTGGCTCCGCGCGCGTGTGCGTAGTGGGTGGTGGTGCGCGTGCGTGCGTGCGTGTGTGCGTGGTTGTGGTTGTTGTGGTGGTGGTGTGTGGTGTGTGTGTGTGTGTGTGCGTGTGTGCGCGTGTGCTGTGGTGTGACGTGGTGTGGCGTCTTGGTGGTTTGGTGGTGGGCCAGGTGCGTACGTGCGTGATGGCGGTGGTGGTGGTGGCGGTGGTGGTGTGTGCGTGTGTGCGTGTGTGTGTGTGCATGTGTGTATGTGTGTGTGCGTGCGTGCGTGCGTGCGTGCGTGCGTGCGTGCGTGTGTGTCTGTGTGTGCGCGCGTGTGATGGGGTGTGACGCGGTGTAGCGTGGTGGTGGTGGTGGTGGGTGGGGTAGTGCGGTGGTGGTGGCGGTGCGCGGTGGTGGTGCGCGTGCGTGCGTGCGTGCGTGCGCTGGTGGGTGGAAGTGGCGGTGGGTGTGCGTGCGGCGGGGCGGGGCGTGGTGCGGCGCGGTGGTGGCGGGCGGATGGACGCGCGAGAAAGAGGCCCGCGCTGGGGCGAGAACGCCATCCTGAACGACGGAGGCAAAACACCGATCCGAAAATGAGGCCCACGCTGCAGCGGGAGCACGATTCGGAACGATTCGGGAGCAGAAATGAGGCCCGCTCCTTCTAAGAAGCAGACTCCCAGCAAGGCCCCCCGCTCTCCCTCCCCCTTATTGCGCACCGCCAAGGGCACCTTTTAGGGCTGGGCCCAGCGGGACAGTGGGCAGCTCTATGAATAGCCAGCGGGTCATCGTTTCTTGAGATCCTGGCGTTGCTGGGACAGCGGGTAGCTCTGAGAATGGCCAGCGTAGCAGTATCCCTTGACATCCTGGCGTTGCAATTATTCCACACGGGCGTTTTCGCCGAGTTTCGTGCCCCGGGGCCCTCACATATCGATCCAGCTCTTAAAGGCAGAAAGATTGGGTCTAGGGCTCCACGTGTGATGGTCCGCGATGTTGCATTTTTGTTCGCAGCGTCGGATCTCAGGGTTCGGCGGGGAGGACGGCCAGCCGGCCAGCGGGCAGTTCCGAGGCAGGATGGCCAGCGGGCGCGATCTTGCGGATACGCCGTCGCACGGACACGCTCCGCGCGGGGCGTCCCATATCCGCCCCATATCCGCGGGGTCGCGGCCAAGGGGCCCCGCCCGCGAGGCCGCAAAGTTGAGACAACGGCGGTTGGCCTCGGGGTCCACCTGAACGCCACGGCTGGACGCCGCTCGGAAGATTGGTGCGTTTGGTGGTCCCTGGGGGGGGTTCGGGGACTGACCTCCAACTGCCGTTGTCCCAGCTCGCCCTCTTCGAAGGGGGGGGCCAAGACTAAAGGCTTCCCGACGTTAGTAGTAGTAGTAGTAGTAGTAGTAGTAGTAGTAGTAGTAGTAGTAGTAGTAGTAGTAGTAGTAGAAGTAGTAGTAGTAGTAGTAGTCGTCGTAGTAGTAGTAGTAGTAGTAGTAGCCGTAGTAGTAGTAGTAGCCGTAGTAGTAGTAGTAGTAGTCGTAGTAGTAGAGAGTAGTAGTAGTAGTGGTAGTAGTAGTAGTAGTAGTAGTAGTAGTAGTAGTGGTAGTAGTAGTAGTAGTAGTAGTAGTCGTAGTAGTAGTAGTAGTAGTAGCAGTAGCAGTAGTAGTAGTAGTAGTAGGTAGTCGTAGTCGGAGTCGGAGTCGTAGTAGTAGTAGTAGTAGTAGTAGTAGTAGTAGTCGTAGTAGTAGTAGTAGTAGTAGCAGTAGTAGCAGTAGTAGCAGTAGTAGCAGTATTCGTAGTCGTAGTCGTAGTCGTAGTCGTAGTAGTAGCGGTAGTCGTAGTCGAAGTTGTAGTCGTAGTCGTAGTCGTAGTCGTACACGTAGTAGCCGTAGTAGTAGTAGTAATAGTAGTAGTAGTAGTAGTAGGTGTAGTAGTAGCTGTAGTGGTAGTTGTCGTAGTAGTAGTAGTAGTAGTAGTAGTAGTAGTAGTAGTAGTAGTAGTAGTAGTGGTAGTAGTAGTGGTAGTAGTAGTAGTAGTAGTCGTCGTAGTAGGCGTAGTAGTAGTAGTAGTAGTAGTAGTAGTAGTAGTAGAAGTAGTTGTAGTCGTAGTCGTAGTCGTAGTCGTAGTTGTAGTAGTAGTCGTCGTCGTAGTCGTCGTAGTAGTAGTGGTAGTAGTAGTCGCACTAGTAGAAGAATTAAAAGAAGATAAACAATAACTAGAAGTGGTGGTGGTAGTAGTAGTAGTAGTAGTAATAGTGGTCGTAGTAGTAGTAGCTGTAGTAGTAGTAGTAGTAGAAGTAGTAGTAGTAGTAGCAGTAGCAGTAGTAGTAGTAGTAGTAGTAGTAGTAGTAGTAGTAGTCGTAGGGGTAGTAGTAGTCGTCGTCGTCGTCGTCGTCGTCGTCGTCGTCGCCGTTGTCGTCGTAGCCGTAGTAGTAGTGGTAGTAGTAGTAGTAGTAGTAGCAGTAGCCGTAGTAGTAGTAGTAGTAGTAGTAGTAGTAGTAGTAGTAGTAGCGGTAGTCGTAGCAGTAGTATTAGCAGTATTAGTAGTAGTAGTAGTAGTAGTAGTAGTAGTAGTAGTAGTAGTAGGAGTAGTAGTAGTAGTAGTAGCCGTAGTAGTAGTAGTAGCAATAGTAGTAGTAGTAGTAGTAGTAGTAGCAGTTGTCGTAGTAGTATGTGTAGTAGTAGCTGTCGTCGTCGCAGTAGTAGTGGTAGTAGTGGTAGGGGTAGAAGTAGTAGCAGTAGTAGTAGCAGTAGTCGTAGTAGCAGCAGTAGTAGTAGTAGTAGTAGTAGTAGTAGTAGTAGTAGTAGTGGTAGTCGTACTCGTAGTAGTAGTAGTAGTAATATTAGTGGTGGCCGTAGTTGCAGTCGTCGTCTTAGTAGTAGTCGCAGTCGTGGTAGTAGTCGTAGTAGTAGTAGTAGTAGTGGTAGTGGCAGTAGATGTAGTAGATGTAGTAGTAGTAGTAGTAGTAGTAGTCGTCGTAGTAGTAGTAGTAGTACTAGCAGTAGTAGTAGTAGTAGTCGTCGTAATAATAATAGTAGTAGTAGTAGTAGTAGTAGTAATGATGGTAGCACCAGTCGTAGTAGTCGTAGTAGCACTAGTAATAGTGGTAGTAGTAGTAGTGGTAGCAGACGTAGAAGTAGACGTAGTAGTAGTAGTAGTAGTAGTAGTAGTAGTAGTAGTAATAGTATGAGTCGTAGTAAGTGTATGAGTATTTGTAATAGTGGCAGTCGTAGTGGTAGTAGCAGTCGCACTGGTAGTGGTAGTAGTAGTAGTAGTCGTAGTAGTTGTAGTCGTAGTCGTAGTCGTATCAGTTGCAGTAGTAGTCGTACCCGTAGTCGTACTAAAATAGTGGTTTCCAGATGAGTGGTCAGCAGTCGTCTTAGTAGCAGTAGCAGTAGTAGTAGTTGTAGTCGTATTTGGGGTAGTAGCAATGAGAGTCGTAGTAGTAGCTCTAGTCGCCGTCGTAGTAGTAGTAGCTGTAGTCGTAAGAGTAGTAGAAGCAGCAGCACACGTATTAACCGTAGTAGTAGTAGTAGTAGTAGTAGAAGTAGTCGTTGTAGTAGTAGCAGCAGTAGTAGTAGTAAGCAAAAGAATAAGAGTAGCAGGAGTAGCAACCGTAGTCGCGGCAGTAGTAGCAGTGGTAGTAGTAGTAGTAGTAGTAGTCGCAGTAGTAGTAGTAGTAGCAGCAACCGTGGGAGCAACAGTATGAGTAGTAGTAGTAGTAGTAGTAGTAGTTGTTGTCGTAGTAGTAGTCAAAGTAGCAGCATCAAAGTAGTAGCAGTCGTAGTAGTAGTAGTAGTAGTAGTAGTAGTAGTAGTAGTAGTAGGCGCCATACTCGTCGTGGTAGTAGTCGTTGTCGTCGCCTTAGTAGTTGTAGCAGTGCGACCCGTCGTAGTAGTAATCGCGGTCGTACTAGTAGGTGTCGTAGTAGACGTAGTAGTAGTAGTAGCAGTACTACTAATTGTCGTAGTGGTAGTAGCGGTAGTAGTAGTTGCAGCCCCAACGCGAGTCGTAGTAATATCAGTAGTAGTTGTAGCAAGTGGAGTCAGGACAGTAGTTAGTAGTAGTAGCTAGTATTTAGTTAATGTAGTAGTAGTAATTAGTAGTACGTAATAGTAGTTAGTGTAGTAGTGTAGTAGTAGTAGTTAGTGTAGTAGTGTAGGAGCAATAGTAGTTAGTGTAGTAGTAGTAGTCGTAGTCGTCGCAATAGCAGTTGAGTTAGTAGCAGTAGTAATATCACAAATAGTGGTAGTAGTAGTTGTCCTCGTAGTCGCAGTAGTAGGCGTAGTCGTAGCCGTAGTAGCAATATTAGGAGTGATTATTGTAGCTCGTACGAGTAGCAGTAGTAG